AATAATAATAATAATAATAATAATAATAATAATAATAATAATAATAATAATAGTGATAATAATAATGATAATACATGTAATAATAATAATAATAGTAGTAATAATAATAATGATAATACATGTAATAATAATAATAATAGTAGTAATAATAATAATAATAATAATAATAATAATAATGATAATGATAATAATAATAATAATAATAATAATAATAATAATAATAATAATAATAATAATAATAATAATCCTTCTTAACAGCAAGCTCTATGCCCTTTACATTTTATTTTATTCTAACGTCCCCAGATAACACGATGTGCGTGGCTGGCGGGTGCTCTGGTTGTGGTTTGTTTGTTCCTTCTTTCTTATCAAACATCACCCATCTTTATCTGCTACTTCTTTTCTTTGTATTTTACTCTCCAGGAACTTCTCTAATCTTTGGCACTGACCTGGCCTATTTGTGTTGCAAGTGCAGTAAAACTTTTACAAAAGCGAAAGAGGACAGGACACGTTTTCCAAACCCTTTGTTTACTCCAAACAAGCATTTAAATGACAATGACAAAAACAATATTTATTCACCTCGCAGGGAGAAATTTATCTTGGTCGTTAACAACGGCAGTAGACGTTACAAAAGTTAGACCTAAAGGTGCACTCACGCAAATGCACAACAAGACAGGACGTTAGGTCAAGTAAATACATGTCTCATGTGCTGAGACAACCCGCTCCGTAAAACATTCTCTCTCTCTATCTCTCTATCTCTCTATCTCTCTCTCTCTCTCTCTCTCTCTCTCTCTCTCTCTCTCTCTCTCTCTCTGTTTCATTTGTAGCACTGTGTGTTCAGTAACCTCACTGCTGTTGGTTCGAATGAATTTCTATATCTGTCTGTTCTTGCTTTTTTTGGAAATGTATCGTTAACTGCGGGTCGATAGTTGGAATTCCGATGTCAGTGGGTGGCTATGGTCACTAAGCATTATTTTCGCCTTTTTTTAGAACTTTTGTTTCTTGCAGATATTCAAAGTTACTTAGGTCTCTACCGATTGTTCTTGATGCCTTTCTTATCAACTTGTTTATTTTTATAATGTGCTGCCTTCCCAAATTGCTACCTTAGCAAGTGATACCAAAATGTATCAAAGTTTCTATGGTGGTGGTGTAGAATATCTGAAGGATGGATGGATTCAGATTGAAAGACCTAAGTTTCCTCAGAAAGTACAGCCTCTGATTTTCCCCTGTAAATTTGTTGTCGATTGTAAGACCAAGATATTTGTATGAATCCGTTATTTCAATTGTTTCTGGTTCAATTATGAATGGTGGGATTGTTGGTTTTTCTCTTCTAAAATAAAAAATCATTTCTTTTGTTTTTGAGAGGTTCACTTTTAGAAAATTTAAATTGCACATTTAAAAAACACAGATTTCTTCGAAATACTCTTTTTCATCAAGGCAGCTATTTAAAACACATTTCTATGTTGATTTTTTACGGGACAACGCTGGTCAAAAACACTACAAATTTATTTTTTTAATAGTGATGTAAATTTATTTCTATTTTCAAGGACTTTCAAGCTTTGAAAGTCACCAAACGTAGGCAACTATTTTCTCGCTTATTTTACTTCTGACAGCAGACGATTCTAACCTCCCTCTCAAATATGTCAACTACTCAAGACAGATGGGTTTTTCATTTATCAAAACTATAGTGGGAAACGAGGTTTAAGATGGTGCCAATTATTACTCCATATGTCCCAAAATTGATGAGCTCTTGATTCCATCGTGTCGTGAGACAATAAATGATGCACTTACCCCATAGATGTACACTATAGGCAGTTTAAAAGGAGATAACTCTATGGCTTACCCTGAGATTGGGAGTAGCAGGCTAATCCTTCCTCACAAGTGCACGATTTTCCCCGCCACATTGCCTGTTCGTCGCAGCTCTCGCCTTCCTTCACATACTTTTGACAAGTTCCTGCAAACAGGTGGGTTGGTTTGGGTTCTTCTTTTCGCAATCCTTACACAATGTACTTTGATCAAAAACAGTTTTGACTATTTGAAAACTCTTTATTAGTGGGTCCATGGTCGAGTTTTTCTTACAAAGGATTGCCTGCCAGTGGACACATTTAGATAACTTGCTAAAATGATATAGACTATTTTCCCTTTTTCTTTCCCCCCCCCCCCACACTTTCAATTTTGCAAGCCCCCCCCCCCCTTATCTCTCTCTCTCTCTCTCTCTCTCTCTCTCTCTCTCTC